TAGGATCTCAACTAAACTCTTGGTTCCCAGCCTGAATCCTGTAGGATCGCACCTGAACTCTCACTTTTTGGCCTGAATCCTGTAGGATCTCAACTGAAGTCTCTGTTCCCAACCTGAATCCTGTAGGACCTCATTCAAAATCTCAGTTCCCAGACTGAATCCTGTAGGATCTCACCTGAACTCAATTTCTGGCCTGAATTCTGTAAGATCTTGCCTAAATTCTCACTTTCTGGCCTGAATCCTGTAGGGTCTCACCTGAACTGTCAGTATCTCTTCTCCACTGTCCCTCTCCCTTGGTCTTTCTCCTTTTCTGTCCTCTGTCCAGCCAAACACCTCAACGGCTACCTGGCCATGACCAGCAGGGCCCATCGCTCTCGCCCCACAGGGGAGATCGTGGTCAACATGGAACCTGAGGTCCCCATCAAGAAGATGGACACGATGGTGAAGTTGGAAGCTGTGAGTATCTGTGTAGCAGCCCCTCCTTCCTCGTTGAATTGTTGATTTCTGAGGGATTTCAGCCAGAATTGGGAAGGCAGCATGTCCCAGGGGTGTCACACTCAATGCGCCCATTTTTGTGCCCAGAATGGGAATTTCGACTCCTTCTCCCACCCTTCTGCTCCAGAGCTTCCTCCACAAAAACAGATTCCTGCAAAGATGCTCCAAGAGCTGGAGCCCCTCTGCTCTGGAGCCAGGCTGGGAGAGTTGGAGGTGCTCACCTGGAGAGGAGAAGGATCCAGGGAGAGCTCAGAGCCCCTTGCAGGGCCTGAAGGGGCTCCAGGAGACCTGGGGATGGAATGGGGACAAGGCATGGAGGGACAGGACACAGGGAATGGCTCCCAGTGCCAGAGGACAGGNTACAGATGGTAATAGAATACATCTTGCCGTACAATCTGGCACACTCAGCCTCAGGGAGGTTGGCACATCCAGGTCAAGGATTTTCCCTCCTGTCAAGGGCTGGTGGTTGAGTTTAACCCCACTTCAGATGTGCTGCAGTGATGGATGCAGATGGAGCACCATCCATGGACTGGACCAGACGCACCTCTGTCCTGAGTGGCCACCAGACCCCACAGCAGCTTTTCTCTGCTTCCCCCAATCCCAGATCCTTCGACATCGAGGCCACCTTCCCCATGGAGTCCATGCTGACGGTGGCTGTGTACGACTGGGATTTGGTGGGCACTGATGACCTCATTGGGGAGACCAAGATCGACCTGGAGAATCGCTTCTACAGCAAGCATCGGGCGACCTGTGGCGTGTCCCAGACCTACTCCATGTATGGGAAAAGCCTTGTCTGTCCCACCTCACACCTGGACCTCCTCTGTGTCACCTCCCACCCAGAGCTTCCACAGGAATCTTCCCCCTTGGCTGCCTGCTGATCCTGGAATGATTTATTTTGGGAAAAACCTCAGGCTGTCCAATCCTGCAAGGGGCAGGGATGAATGGAGGAGTCTGTGCTATCCCTGGTTTTGTCACCAGGGTTAGGGAGTGATGAAATGGGTCATCAGAAGTCCAGGGCAGGAGGGAGGGACTGGGGGGACTGGTGGAAAAGGGGTGAGATCAGGGCTGAAATGGGATCAGAGCCAATGGGGCGATGCTGAGCATCACGAATCAAGTGGGATGCACTGGGAATTCCAGGTCTGAGCCAAAGTGGGATGGAAGGTGTTTGCAAAAGGGGCACAGAGGGATCAAATTTGCTCTAAAGATTCAATTTTGCTGCCTCAAATTCTTTCCCTGGGAATTCTGGGTGCTTCGTGGTGCAATGGGTTTTTTCCCTGGCAAAAGGGAAAAAATTTTCTTTGTCCTCACAACTTTTTTTGCCTGATCTTGCCCTCCTGTTCCCAGCCACGGGTACAACACCTGGCGTGACCCCATGAAGCCCTCCCAAATCCTGTCCAAGCTGTGCAAAGAGGGAAAAGTGGATGGGCCACACTTCGGGCCGGGGGGAAGAGTGAAAGTTGCCAACAGGGTCTTCACCGGCCCCACGGAGATCGAGGATGAAAATGGTATGACCCTGTGGGATCATCCCATGGGGTGGAGGTTCTGGAGCAGAGCAGGGGTCTGGGGGTGGGTCTCCTCATCATCCAGGGTTGGAATCTCAGAGTAGTTTGAATCATGGAGTGGTTTGAAATGGACCTTTGAAGGTCGTCCAGTCCAACTCCCCCCAGACAGGTGAGATGGGCGCATCACCCAGCCCTGCAGGCACCATCCCAGTATAGACCAGTTACAGAGTCCTACAGACCCTCCAGACCCCAGAGGGTTCCTCTTGGAATCACTTGAGGACATCCATGAACACCGAAAGCTGCCTCTGGAAATGCCCTCTGAGAAGTGCATATCCCAAGAGCCATGGAGACACCTCCAGCATTTAGGGAATTGTCATCCATGGGAATGCATTCCCAAACAATGGGAGATGAGGGTTGTGTCCCAACACACACGTGTGCCCGAGAAAGAGGGAAATAGCCCAGGAGGGGTGAGGGAAAGAAGGAAAATGTGGTCAGTGGACATAGGATTAGTTCAGACAGGGAAAAATGAATGGGGATCTGAACCTTCTACAGGGATTGGAAAGAGGCAAGAGGAGTTAGGAAGTGCTGGCTGAGGGACAAAGTGTTCCCAAGGGATGGAGAGGAAGAGGCAGTTCTGCAACCTTTGGGAACACTTTGTCCCAAGGGATGGAGAGGAAGAGGCAGTTCTGCATCTTGGGACAGTTCTGCAACCTTTGGGAACACTTTGTCCCAAGGGATGGAGAGGAAGAGGCAGTTCTGTACCTTGGGACAGTTCTGCGACCCTTGGGACAAAGTGTTCCAAAGGGATGGAGAAGATGAGGCAGTTCTGCACGTTGGGACAGTTCAGGAGCCCTTGGGAACATTTTGTCCCAAGGGATGGAGAGGATGAGGCAGTTCTGCACCTTGGGACAAAGTGTTCCTAAGGGGTGGAGAGGATGAGGCAGTTCCACACCATGGGACAGTTCTGCACCCTTGGGAACACTTTGTCCTCAGGGATGGAGAGTGTGAGGCAGTTCTGCACCCTTGGGAACATTTTGTCTTAAGGGATAGGGAGGAAGAGGCAGTTCTGCAACCCTTGGGACAAAGTGTTCCCAAGGGATGAAGAGAATGAGGTGGTTCTGCACCTCGGGACAGTTCTGCAACTCTTGGGACAAAGTGTTCCCAAAGGATGGGGAGGATGAGGAAGTTCTGGAATTGTTGGGACAGTTCTGAGACCCTTGGGACAAAGTGTTCCCAAGGAACGGAGAGGATGAAGCAGTTCTGCATCTTGGGACAGTTCTGCAGCCCAAGGGATGGAGAGGATGAGGCAGTTCTGCACCTTGGAGCACAGGTGCTTTTTTGGGTGCTTTGCTGTCCCTGTGTCCCTATCCCAACTGTCGGAGCTCTTCTCTGTCCTCCAGGCCAGAAGAAGCCGACGGACGAGCACCTGGCGCTGGCAGTGCTGCGACACTGGGAGGACATCCCGCGGGCCGGCTGCCACCTCGTCCCCGAGCACGTGGAGACGCGGCCACTGCTCAACCCCGACAAGCCGGGCATCGAGCAGGTCTGACATTCCAATGGGAACGGGGGCAGCCCACGAGGGGCAGCACAGACCTAACCCACCTCAGGGTGGGCAGGTCACCCCGGGAGGCCAGCAGAGAAAATCTCCAGTGCCTCCTGATCTATCCTCATCCATTTCTCATCCCACAGTCCCTTGTGATTCCCCACATCCAGGCACATGGAAGCAAAATTCCCAATGGATTCCCAAGCAGAAGGGACTGGAAACTCGCAGGCTGCTGTGCACAAGAGGCAGTGCTGGGAATTTTCTGGAGACCCCAAACCTCCTGGAGCCCTCAGGAGGACTCTGAGGCTGTGTTGGGGGGCAATCACAGCCCTGTTGACTAAAGGGAGGAGAGTAGGGACAGAGTTCTGTTCTGGTTGTTTTGCAGATCCAATTTTGGTCAGAAATCTCCCAAAATCCAATCCTGGATGCCCCATTGAGCCTTTGGCAAGTTCCTTGCAGAGGCTGGGAGCAGAAGAGGGAAAGCTCCCTTTGGAGCTTGGCTCACCCTGGTGAGGCTGATCCAAGCTCACATGCAGATCATGGAATCATGGAATGGTTTGGGCTGAAAGGGTCTTAAAACCCATCCAGTTCCACCCACTCCATGAGATGCTTCTGCAGGGGTGGAGAAGGATTTGTGGCATGGGAGAAGCTTGTCCCACTCCACATCTAGCATGACCGGGGTGATGAAGAGGGGGACACCGGTGGGAATGAGACAGGAGGGACAAGGGGAGCTGACTGTGCCTCTCCCACTCCACAGGGCCGCCTGGAGATGTGGGTGGACATGTTCCCCATGGACATGCCAGCACCTGGCCCTGCCATCGATATTTCTCCCAGGAAACCAAAGAAGTAAGGAACTTAACTTAAGGAAATTCCTGGGATTGGTTGGCTGCCCAGCCAAAAAATGGGAAAGGGAAACGGGAGGTTGGGGATGGAGCCCAGCTTCTCCCATCTCCTGCTGCTGCTCCATGGGCAGCCCAGCCCTCTGTTGGTTTCCTCATCCATGCTGCCATTCCCAAAGATCCCAACACTAGAGGCAGTTCCAGAGCTGCTCCTGAGGGTGGGATCCCAGATCTCCCCATCCCCTGCAGATCCCGATCTTTCTTGCCTGTGTGAACTGGGAAATTCCATCGTTCCCTGGGCAGAGCAGAGTCCCCAGCCCTGAGCCTCTTCTGGGCAGGGGCAGGGTTATCCCAGGACAGTTTGGATTGGGCTTTTTGGACAGTTTGGATTGCGCTTTTTGGATTGGTGATGGACAGAAGGATGGGTGGTGGAGGCCCCTGGGACAGCATTCCAAGCAGGAAAGAGCAGGCAGAGACAGCGCACGGAGGGGGAAGGACATTTCTTCCCTCAATATCCCTTCTAGTCCATTATCAGCCTGCTGGCCTCGGTCTTTGGGCTCCTTTTCCTGCCCCCAGGGCTGGGATACAGGGATGGCACTGGGAATCCCAATGGGAGCCTCTGGTGCACCCCAGGCAGCCGATGCCTTGGGTGGAGAGAACATCCCTGGTTCCCAGCTGGGAGAGGCACAGCACAGGACAGGCAGGAGAAAGGGAAAAGGTGAAGGAATCCCATGGATGGGCTCAGCCAGGGCACTGCCAGAGGGAGATCCCAAAGGAATGGGGTTAAGGAAGATGTATATTCACTTTTCTCACCTGGACACTCCCTGGCATGTCCAGTGAGGTGCTGTGGCCACATGTCCTGAGCCTCCTTCCAGCCTCCTCTTGCTGCAGGAGCCAGGATTCTGCTCTTCCTCCACCCACTCCCACTTCCTCTGTGGAGGTTTTAATTTGAAACTGGGCAGAAACACTAATTTTTATGTAGCCCTCTAATTCTGCTAATTTGAGAGTTTCTTCATTTTAAAATAATTTGCTAATTTGAGAGTTTCTTAATTTTAAGATTTCAAGATTTCAAAGTTTCTTCTTTTAAGATTTCAAAGTACTGAAGAGCGTGGTAGATTTTGTATTGGTTAGTTGCTAGTGTACTTATTTCTTGTTGTGAGATAGGATTAGGAGAAAGGTAAAGCAGGCTTCAAACTTTCAAAGGGTATAAAGAAAATTATATTATTAGTGAGAAAAAAATAGTAAGAATTAAGACAAGATTTTTTGAAACACTTTTACTCTCCCTAAAACTTTTTTTTTTCCTACTGATAATGTAAAGAAACAAAACTTTAAATTTCTAGTCAGTTTGCTGCCTCTAAAATAGTCTCTTTTTAAAAGTTTATTTAGGGAGAGAAGTCTTTCTTGTTAATGTTATGGAGACTTCTTTGCAGGAGAAAAACAGTTTTCTTGTGGGAAAACTCATAAATAGTAGCCGCCCAGGGGAAATCTGCAGTCGTGAAGTTCACCTTATTTTCCACAAGCCTTCCCACAGCTCATTTGTGGGTTATGTTTATGGTTTATGTTTCACCATCAAGAAATTCCCCGTCAAGCAGAGGTGATGGGAAGCTCCCCAGCCTGCTAGGAATTCCCTGGAGACCCCTGAACCTCCTGTGGTCCTCAGGAGGACTCTGAGCCCGTTTTGGGGTGGAATCACAGCCCTGTTGAGTAAAGGGAGGAGAGCAGGAACAGAGTTGGGCTCTGGTTGTTTTGCAGACCCAGTTTTGGTCAGAAATCTCCCAAAATCCAAGCCTGGGCTGCCCCGTTGAGCTTTTGGCAAGCTCTTTGCAGAGGCTGGGAGCAGAGGAGGGAAAACTCCTTGATGCTTGGCTCACCCTGCTGAGGCTGATCCGAGATCATGTGGAGACCATGGAATCATGGAATGGTTTGGGTGGGAAGAGACTTTAAAGTTCATCTTGTTCCACTCCCTGCCATGGGCAGGGACACCTTCCACTATCCCAGGGTGCTCCCAGCCCCATCCAAGACTTGGACATTCCCAGGGATCCAGGGCTGCTGTGGGAANATCCCTACTCCCCAGCATGATCCCATTCCTAATCCCTACTCCCTTCCCAATATGATCCCATTCCTAACCCCTACTGCCCTTCCCAGCACAATCCCATTCCTAATCCCTACTCCCCAGCACGATCCCATTCCTAATCCCTACTCCCTTCCCAATATGATCCCATTCCTAACCCCTACTGCCCTTCCCAGCACGATCCCATTCCTAATCCCTACTCCTTTCCCAATATGATCCCATTCCTAACCCCTACTGCCCTTCCCAGCACAATCCCATTCCCAATCCCACCTGCCCTTCCCAGCCCCCAAACCATCCACTCCCATTCCCTGATGACCATCCCTGTCCTGCTCCCCAGGACCTCCCTGAGAACGAGCTGCTGCACCCGCCCCTGAACATCCGCGTGGTGGACTGCCGCGCCTTCGGGCGCTACACCCTGGTGGGCTCCCACACCGTCAGCTCCCTCCGCAAGTTCATCTACCGCCCACCCGACAAGAAAGCCCAGCAGTGGAACATGGCAGGTACCAGGACTGGGACACAGGGACCTGGTCTGGGATGTCCACGGGGAGAAGAGGGAGGTGGGATGGGCTGTGAGACCGTGAGATGGTTGGCTTACCTGCAGAAATTCTGATTCTGGATCCAGAACTCTAAGAAAAACCTAACTGGTCTGGGTCATCCGTGGGGAAAAGATGGAGGTGGGACGGGCTGTGAGACCATGAGATGGTTGGCTAACCCACAGAAATTCTGGTTTTGGATCCAGAACTCTAAGAAAAAACCTAACTGGTCTGGGTCATTCATGGGGAAAAGATGGAGGTGGGACGGGCTGTGAGACCGTGAGATGGTTGGCTAACCCGCAAAAATTCTGAGTTTGGGTCCAGAACTCCAAGAAAACCCCAACTTCATCAGTTTTGTGGTTCCAAGTGGTGTGAGGACACTCCTAAAATTTTTTGTGGTAAAAGTGAAAAACAAATTGGATTTTTAGTCTTTTGATTCTCAAATTATTGTTTATTTTTCTCTAATTAAAAATTCTATACACTATTTATATATACACTATATATCTACTTATATGGATATATCTATCTATGCACTATATATTTATATACACTATTTACATCTTAGACTTAGCATATTAAAAAAAAACACTAAAAGTTACAAAACACACAAATTTAAAGTCTTTAAAAACGATTTTATTTAACTTATTCTTAAAACGTACTTTATTTCTACTTTTCTACCAATGACTAATTATTTATTTACCTACACATCTACATTCTGATTCTTTCTAACCAATCACTTTATACTCCCAATGCTATAAGAAAAAAGAATAAATTAAAAATGCCAAGGAGATCAAACAAGACCCAAAATCCTTCATCTTAGCTCCTACCCACCTCCATACTAAAAATCCAAAACTCTATGTTTCTCACCTTACAATAAACTATCTATTGTACACACTTATAAATTCCTACTATCTATTTTACACACTCATGAATTTCAATTCATCCCAAAGTCTTAGAAACTTTCTCCATAAACAAAGATTAAAAGCAGTGTTCTCCTAAAAATCAAAACTTCTAAAAACAAACAAAAATATATTGCCTATACCCTAAACTCAAACAAGGTTCAACTCCAACATCTCTGCAGCTTCAGGGCTTAAGTCCCCAGATGTTCCTCAGGAATGGGACAGGATTTGGCCACACTCATAATTCATGGTCCCCTTCCCAATATGATCCCATTCCTAATCCCTTCCACTCTTTCCAGTCTGATCCCATTCCTAATTCCTGCTCCCCTTCCCAGTCTGATCCCATTCCTAAACCCTACTGCCCTTTCCAGCAGGATCCCATTCCTAATCCCTCAACCTGGACCAGGGGTTGTGTCCCAGCCACCAGAGGCTTTCAGGAAAATCTTCTCTGCCTCTTTTCCTTTGGATATTTGCTGCTTTTCTTCCACCTTCCTTTGCTCTTTGGTGGGATTTTGGTCCTGCTGGAGGCTCTGTGCTCATTTCCACTGCTCCAAACAAGGTGGTCCCACTGTGCTCTGGCCTAAATCCTGTAGGATCTCACCTGAGCTCATCTTCTGGCCTGAATCTGTAGGATCTCACTTGAAATTTCAGTTTCTGACCTTAATCCTGTAGGATTTCAACTTAACTCTCAGTTTCTGGCCTGAATCCTATAGGATTTCACTTGAAATCTCGGTTCCTAGGCTGAATCCTGTAGGATCTCACTTGAACTCTCACTTTTTGGCCTGAATCCTNTTTCCAACACTACCTCAGAAGCCATTCTGATAATTTTATGCTGTTCTGGGTAGCTGAGCTATTTAAGGAAATAATTGCTTTTGTGGAGTGTTTTAGAAGGAGTAAGAACCTCTTGCCCCTGGCTCAGGTTTTTCTCTGAAAGAGCTTTATTTTACCTTTATTAAGACTTTTTCTGTTTCCAACACTACCTCAGAAACCATCCTGATAATTTTATGCCGTTTCTGGTAGTTGAGCTCTCTAAGGTAATAATTGCTTTTGTGAAGTGTTTAGAAGGAGCAAGAACCTCTTGCCCCCGGCTTGGGCTTTTTTCCATAAGAGCTTTGTTATTTTACCTTTTATTAAACCTTTTCCTGTTTTCAACACTACTGCAGAAGCCATCCTGCTAATTTTATGCTGTTCTGGGTAGCTGAGCTATCTAAGGAAATAATTGCTTTTGTGGAGCAATTATTGCTCCTTTTAGAAGGAGCAAGAACCTCTTGCCCCTGGCTGGGGTTTTTCTCTGAAAGAGCTTTATTTTACCTTTTATTAAGACTTTTTCTGTTTCCAACACTACCTCAGGAGCCATCCTGATAATTTTATTCCGCTTGGGGTAGCTGAGCTATCTTGGGTGTGATGGCTTCTCTGAGAGCTCATAAGACCTGGCCCAAAGAGAAACCCATGATCAGGGATGGAGAACAGGCCCATCCCTGAATCCTTGTCTGCTGTGGACAGCGCTGACCCATCCCACCTGTTCCCTGCAGGCCACGGACCTCCACCCAGCTGACATCAACGGGAAAGCCGATCCCTACATCGCCATCAAGCTGGGCAAGACGGACATCAAGGACAAGGAGAACTACATCTCCAAGCAGCTGAACCCTGTTTTTGGGAAGTAAGTCTGTGCCTGGAACTGCCGAGCTGAACCCAAGCTCGCCACCCCTCAGATCTGCATCTCAGGTGTCCCATGGCTGCTCCTTGAGCTGGATTTATCTTTATTTATTTAGCTTTATTATTTAGCTTTATTTATGGGATTTATTCCACAGCGTGGATGGTTCTTCCAGGACGTCCTTTGCCAACATGTGGTCAACATAGCACCAGGCGTTTAAGACATGAACCTGAAATTCACCTGATCAAGGTGAAACACCCGCTTAGGAATCATTAGACCTAAATTTGAATGAGAATAAGACACAAACTCAGTGTNGCTTTCTGTGGCTGGTGGTTGCTCCAAACGAGATTCTGGTGAACGGTGGCTGCAGCTGGTCCTGGACAATCCAAGGGCAGCAGCATCAAGCACTGTCCCCTCTGTATTCCCAGGCTGGAGTTCCACACCTCAGGCTCCATAAAACAGGAGAAGTCTCTGGTAGGAGGAAGAAAATTCCCAAGATTCACAGAATCAGTGGGTTGGAAGAGACCTTAAAGATCATTGAGTCCAGCCCAGCCCCAACACCTCAATTCAACCCTGGCACCCAGTGCCACATCCAGGCTTCTGCTAAACACATCCGGGGATGGGGACTCTGCCACCTCCCTGGTCCCCAGGAATTCCCAAAATTCCCAGAATTCGCAGAATCACTGGGTTGGAAGAAACCTTCAAGACCGTCAAGTCCAACCCATCCCCAATGCCTCAACTCAACCCTGGCACTCAGTGCCACATCCAGGCTTTGTTAAACACACCCAGGGATGGTGATTCTACCACCCCCCCCCCAGGCAGAACATTCCAGAATTTTATCATCCTTTCTGTAAATAACTTTTTCCTGATATCCAACCTAAATTTCCCTTGGTGCAGCTCAAGGCTGTGTCCTCTGGTTCTGTCAGTGCTGCTGGAGAAAGAGCCCAGCCCCACCCGAGCACAGCCACCTTTCAGGGGGGTGTAGAGGGTGATGAGGTCACCCCTGAGTCTCTTTTCTCCAGGCTGAACACCCCCAGCTCCCTCAGTGGTTCCTCACAGGGTTTGTGTTCCCAGCCCCTCTCCAGCCTCGTTGCCTCCTCTGGACATTCCCCAGGTTCTCAACATCTTTCCCAAACTGAGGGGCCGGAATTGGACACAGTACTGAAGGTGTGACCTCACCAGTGCAAGGTACAGGGGCAGAATGACCTCCCTGCTCCTGCTGGCCACACCATTCCTGCTGTGGGCAGGACCAGGTTTTGTCACCGTTGTCAGAGGGCTCTGCCCATGTTCTGTAGTCCTCCAAGTGATGTTTTGTAGTCCTCCAAGTGATTCCTGCTCAGGTCAGCCCTGGAATTCCCTGCACAGAGAACTCAAGGCTGATGGGGATGGTGCAATCCAGAGCCAAGGACAGACAGGGCAGGGCTGGGATGGAATTTGCAGGCAGCAGCAGCTGGCAGCTTTCATGCTTCTCTTCTTTGAAGGATCTTATCCAAGCCCTACCACATCTCCCCCACCTCTCCTCACCCTCATTTCCATTCCTTCCCTCCTCCCTCCCTTCTTTCCATCTCCTCCCTCTGCACTGTTCCCCCCTGGACTAAGAGTGATGCCAAACTTGGTGACTCTCCCATGTAAGGCTCCAAGGCCCAGGTGAAGAACAAGGACAAGGATAAGGACAAGGACAAAGACAAAGACAAGTCCAAGGCACCCAAAGATGACAAGAAAAAGAAGCAGCAACCAGTCCCGGAGCTCCCTGAGAAGAAGAACAAGCAGAAGATTGATGAACTCAAGGTACTGGGGGTGCTTCTGTGGGAGTACCTAATTGTGGGGATGATGTGCTTTGGGACATCTCTTCTAGGGATTTATCTTGGGATGAAGCTTCCCAGCCTCTTTTCAGCTGGAGGTCATGGGAAAAGGGGTTGTCCTGGGATAGGCTCATCCCTGGGCAAGTTGGAGGTGTCCCAGCTCCAAGAGAGAGTTTTCCTGCTGGCCCAGAGAGGATTCAGGACAGGGGTGGGCTCTGACTCAGTGATCCCAAGGATTTCTCAGGATTCATGTGGTTCTGGGGTTCAGATGGCATTTAGACCTGGATCCTGCACAGAGGGGGAACAATGGCCCTACCCATTACACCAAGATTCCCTTTTTCCAACTCAATAATGCTGGAGATCCTTCTCCTTCTTTGAAAAATTAACCACTGGGAGCTGAGGTGTCCATGTTCACAGAATCCCAGGATCTCTGAAGCTGGAAAAGCCCTCCCAGACGATCGAGTCCAACCTGTGACTGATCCCCACATTGTCCCCAGTCCAGAGCACTGAGTGCCACATCCAGGCCTTTCCTGGACACCTCCAGGGATGGGCACTCTAAACATCCCTGGCAGCCCCTTCCAAGGCCTGACCACCCTTTCCATGAGGAAATTATTCCCAATATCCAATCTGAAGCTCTTTGAAACATCTTGAGGCCGATTCCCTTTGTCCTGTCCCTCGCTCCTTCTGAGCTGATTAAGTACTCCCCACATCTATTGCTCACCTTTAGTTTTATCCCAAATTCCCTCCTTTAAACTTTTTTTTTTCATCTCAGGTCTTCAACAAAGAGCTGGAATCAGAGTTTGACAACTTTGAGGATTGGCTGCACACCTTCAACCTGCTGCGGGGGAAGATTGGGGACAACGACGACAACGCCACAGAGGAGGAGCGAATAGTGGGGAGGTTCAAGGTGAGTGTTTAGAAATTCTGGCCAGGATTTTGGGGAGGGTGTTTTGTGGTGGGTTTGCCTCCCTGGAGGCCCTGGACAGCAGGACTCAGTTGGTTCATTCCCTCCCTCACACCAGGGCTCCATGTGTGTCTACAAAGTACCGCTCCCTGATGACATCAGCAAGGAGGCAGGATACGACCCCACCTTCGGGATGTTCCAGGGGATCCCCAGCAATGACCCCATCAACGTGCTGGTCCGAGTCTACATCGTGAGGGTGAGTGGGAATTTGGGGTGTGGCAGGCGAGATCTGTCACTTCCTTCCACCTGGAGCTGGTCCTGGTGCCATTAGGGATGGTGGGATTCAGCTCCAGCGCTCCAGGACTGATGCCTTGAGAAAGCTGAGCTAGAAGAGAGGCTGGACAGCGCTAAAGAATAAAGTAGGAATTTATTTAAAGGATCTCCTTCATGGATCCACCTTGGGCACCACGAGCCCAGCCAGGGCTGCACCCAAGATGAACCAAAATGGTCACAAAATCCACAACCGCTCACAGGGTCTCTCAGTCCCACCCTGTTTTGTTTTTCTCTCTCCAGCCTACGTTGTTTGTGCTCTTGGGCCTGAGATTTGGATCATCTGTCCTTGGTGCCCAGCTGGAGCAGGAATTGTTTTGCCTCCCTGCTCTGTACAGAGAGCTCACCATCCCATAATATGAAGCCCAGACACACCCACTAAAGCAGCACAGTATCTGAAAAATATAAAAGCTAAAACCTGAGGCATCACCAAGGGCTTCAGGACCCAGGATGCAGCTTGAGGACTGAAGCAGCTCCTTGGTTTGGGTGGGAAGGAATGGTTGGGAATGGAATGGTTTGGGTGGGAAGGGACCTAAAAGTCCATCCTGCTCCACCCCCTGCTGTGGGCCGGGACACCTCCCACTATCCCAAGCTGTTCAGGGATATCCCAGGATATCCAGTGCTGTTTCCAGGGCTGTGTGCTCCTTGCACTGGGAACAGGACGCATCCAGGCTCCTGCCAGATCCAGAGACATCTCTCCAGCTGGTGGAATGGACCGGTGTGTCCTGGTGCTCAATTCCCATGGATAGTTTGGATCAGCCTGTACTGTGAGGTGTTGGTTTGTTCCACAGCCATGCCACCACCCTGGTGATGGTTCAGGATGGGAAAGAATGGGAGAAAAAGGGTGGAATGGAATCTGGCAGGAGGAGGAGGAGATCCTTGTGAAGGACACAGCACCTCCTTGAATGCGTGTTCTGTGATCGTTGATGTGATCCAGCCAACACACATTTTTTCCTCTATATGTGGAATGTGCTCTGGGAAAATTCACCTCCTGGCCCCTGAACTGGTCATCCCTCTGTCCCCAAGTGTGAGATTCTGCAGCCAGGCACTTGGGAGGGATTTCCATCCTGCTGGAAGCACCTGGGCTGCCCTTTGCCACCACCTTATCCCAGTGTGTTACAAACAGAACCTACTTTTGGCTCCGTTTCCCACCAGCCTGGTTCTCTGGGATATGGAGTCTCCCATCCATCACCAGGCTGGAATAGCAGACACCAGCTTGGTCAACCAACCCCAAAACCAGCCAGGACTGGGTGGATGTGTTCTCATCTGCTGCTGTGCCATGCTTGGAGGTGGGACTGGAGAGTTTGGGGGTCCTCACCTCCTCTCTGGGGAGAATCCATCATGAAGAGGACACGATGGGAAGGGAATGGATATCTCAGCATCTAGGCCAGGTTTTTGCTAGGGGTGTTTCCTGAGAGTCTCTTTCTTGCCTCGGGTGAGATTCCAAAGGTCACTGTGGTGACATCTCAGGACAAAGCCAGTTCCAAACTTTCCCTAAACCAGGACAGGGATTTATCCGAGGCAGGAATATTCCCAGTTTAATCCAAGACACTATTTCATCCCCATTTCAATCCAAGACACTCTGTTTAGGGACTGAAGCAGCTGGATGTTCTTGGGGTGTAGGAATGTGACGGAGTGACTAAATTCTCCTTTGTCTCCTTAAAAAAGAAGAAAACCCAGAAGTTTTTCTCCTCAATTTGTAAAAAGACACCTCATAGGACCTTTGAGACTTCACCTCAAACCTGGGGTTGCCAATTGGACAGAGGCCAAAAGGTCCCGCCTAGGTAATTCACTAGAAAAAGAAGAGAACAAAGGAAATAATTGTTTTTGTGGGGTGTTCAGAAGAAGCAAGAACCTCTTGCCCCTGGTTTGCTCTTTTCTCTGACAGAGCTTTGTTATTTTACCTTTTATTAAACCTTTTTCTCTTTCCAACACTACCTCAGAAGCCATTCTGATAATTTTATGCTGTTNGGCAGTGCTGAGAGACCCAAGCCAGTCAGCTCTGGGTGGATGTGTTCTCATCTACTTCTGTGCCATGCTTGGAGGAGGGACTGGAGACTCTGGGGGTCCTCACCTCTTCTCTGGGGAGAATCCAGCATGGAGAGGACACGAGGGGAAGGGGATGGATGTCTCGGCATCTTGGTCAGGTTCTTGCTCGGGGTGTTTCCTGAGAGTTTCTTTCTTGCCTCTGCTGAGATTCCAAAGATGCTACTGGTGTCTCCTGTGCTGTTTCCTGCCTCTCCCCCTCTCCTTGGCTGCACATCCACTGGCATTACAGAAGCTGAGAGACATGGACCATGCTATGCAAGCAAAGCCAGTTTATTACACTAATGACCAATATTTACAGTTCCTTAACTTCACACAAAATTTCCCACTCTGACCCCCTTGCCTCCATTCCCTTAGCAACACAATCTTTTTGGTGATGAAGTCCCTGTTACATCCTCTTGCACCAGCAATGTCCTTGTTACCTCTTCTCTCCTCAGAGCAGTCAGTGACCTGTGGTTGTGTTCCTCACTCAGGGCTCAACAAATATGGAATTTTTCTTCACTCGGGGCCACCAAATGTGGTGGTGTTCACAAGGGTCCCAGGATGAGGGAAGAGATGAGAATCTTGACTCCATGTTTCAGAAGGCTGATTTATTATTTTATATGTTGTATTAAAAGAAAATTATATATTAAAACTATACTAAAAGAATAGAAGAAAGGATTTCACTAGGCAGCTAGTAGGAAAGGAAAGGAATGATAATAAAATCTTGTGACTGCCCAGAGAGTCCTAGACAGCTGGACTGTGATTGGTCATTAATTAAAAACAACCAAATGAGACCAATCAAAGATGCACCTGTTGCATTCCACAGCAGCATATAATAATTGCGTACATTTTGTTTCTGAGGCCTCTCAGTTTTTGAGGAGAAAAAAGAATTTTTCATAAAATATGTCAGTGACAGCTCCCAGCTCCTGTACAATTCCTTCACATCTCCTCACCCAGGGTAAGCCCTCAGACAACCCCCTTGAATCTCCTTCTCCTAAAGTTCTCTGCTCCCTCTGGGATCCTCCTGCCCCTTGGATTTCCTGCTGCAGTGTCCGAGGCAGCCCTGTCATTCTTGCGCCAAAGTCAGGGCAGGAAGAGGCGAGAGGCAGGATCATAGAAAAGGCAAAGAAAGTTTTATTCAAAAGAACCACAGGGTTTTTATAGAGTGGTATGATTTATAGAGTGGTATGATAGATTCTATTCTATTGGCTAACTAACAGAAACATCTTTCTCACACACTGTCCTTGAAATGAACAGAAAAATAAGGGAGAAAAACACCACTTGCTATTTTTTTATAGTCAACAAGTTATCACATCCTTCCAGCTCCCTAAAAATTCTCACAAGCCGCTGTGAGAAATGCCTGCTGTTTCTCTTGCTCTGTCCCATGGCATCCACACAGCCCCATCCCCTTGTTCATAACTTTTAGTTTTTTCCAGTCCTGGAGACACCCTGGCTGCCTGGATGGGTGGTCCTGTCCCCTCCCCTGCCCCATGTAAACCTGTGCCCCCCTCTCACCTCCCGGGCCCTGCAGGTGGCTGAAGGGGCAGCAGGAGGACAAGCAGGACACGGATGTCCATTACCACTCCCTCACCGGTGAAGGCAACTTCAACTGGCGCTACATCTTCCCCTTCGATTACCTGATGGCTGAGGAGAAGATTGTCATCTCCAAGAAGGAGTCCATGTTCTCCTGGGATGAGACGGAGTACAAGATCCCAGCCCGCCTCACCCTGCAGGTCTGGGATGCCGACCACTTCTCAGCCGATGATTTCCTGGGTACGTGCAGGGTCCAGAGCACCCCACAAACCCCCTGAGATGCTGCTGGATGGAGCAGGTGGGGTGAGAGGGCAGGAAGGGTCTGCAGAGGGTTCTGGACAGGCTGGATCCATGGGCCAAGGACAAGGGCCAGGTCTTGAACTGGGGTCACACCAACCCCACTGAGCACTCCAG